TGAGTTTTGTGGCCATGCTCAGTGGTCCAGAGGGTGAGAATCCCATGCAGGAGTGGTGGGTGCTTCGCATTAGATGGTTCACACATACAAGGCCAGCCCCCAGGCCAGCAAGGTCCCAGAGGTCCCAGCGCCAGAATACTGTCAACACACATGAGAAGCAGTGCCACTCCCCAGCTGCATGCCAGAGGCAAGGGCTCCATCAGCCCAGGGCACCCTCAGGCTTCCCTGTGACGCTGACCCCTTGGCTGCCATCCCTAACACCTGGCCCCCAACAGTCTGCTTCCCGGGCTCTTCGTGGTGGGCCGAGAAGGGGTGTCCAGACATGCACACAGCCACAGACCCAGAAGCCCTGGAGCCGCCTGGGAACCACTGAGGGAGGGGAACGACAGGGAAGGGTGGGCAGGCAGGCCCTGTGCAGGATGTCCAGCCAGCCCGGGCTGATTGCGCCACCACCCCAAGGACGAACCTTGGACTCAGCCTGCATCTTTCCGGCCAAGTTTGGCTCTGAAGTCATGTTGCTCCCACCTAGGGCGCTGGGTTCACTGTCTCCGTTCAACCGCCATCTGAAGAAGAGGACACAGAAATGGCAAGCAAGCAGCAGTCTACTGCAAAGTGACAGAGATGGACTTGTAGGAAGAGAAGGGCCCAGGGCTGGGAGTCTGGGGGGAGAGTTTGGGCCTGTTCTTTTATGGTCTCTGCGATTTCCTCCTTTCCTTAGCCCCTCCCTGTCCACTCCTCAGAAGACCCTCTCCATGCTCCTTTGTTCTGGCCCTGTCCCAGCAGACACATCACATGCCATGCTCCTTGACCCCACTCTCCGTGGAAATGAGAATTTCATATGGATATAGACACTCAGTTAGAGATGTGCACTGAAACTCTCCTCTATATATGGAATTTTAACTTACACTTTAACTTACATTTAACTGAAATAGTTGTGTGTGTGTGCATGCACACACTCCGAACACACACACAGGACTGCTCACATCGATGGAAATGATCCCAAAGACAGACATCAAATGAAGGGACGCTTCCTGGGGGGTCAGCACAGGGAGAGTCTGGGTGTTTGGAGCGTGGCTGTTCCCCGCCATCCCACGTCTGAGGAATGAGATCAGCACACCAGAGATACCTGCATGCCCAAGTCTACTGTGGCACAACTCACAACCCAGGACGTGGAATCAACCTGAGTTTCCACCAGTGCACACCTGCATAAAGAAAAGGTGCTTCATATGTGAATCATCTTTAGCAAGAAGGACGGAAGCGCAGGATGTTGTCTTAAAGGAGATGAACCAGACCAAGAAAAGAAGTACATATGTTCTCTCATACATAGAGCTAGGAAGGCTGGCCGGAATGCCCAGTAGTGGTCCTACAAGTGGGGAGGGTGGGTGGGAAGGCACAGATACTGAAGAGTTGGCTTGGATTGGTGAACGCGACACATGTGTTGTGTGTCACGCCAAACACTATTTGGGGTTCAATTCACACCCTTTTTTTTGGGTGGGGCTACTGAGGATTGAACTCAGAGGTACTTGACCACTGAGCCACATCCCCAGCCCTATTTTAATTTTATTTAGAGACAGGGTCTCACTGAGTTGCTTAGCGCCTCACTTTTGCTGAGGCTGGCTTTGAACTTGTGGTCCTCCTGCCTCAGCCTCTTGAGCTGCTGGGACAATTCATACCTTTTAATAAATAATAACACAAACCAAAATAGAAACGTTGTCCCAGATGTCAGACACTTCTATACTGGAAGTGGAAGGAGTGAGTTTGAAATTTAGCAAAAAATTGGCCCCTCTGGGGCTGGGGAGGTAGCTCAGTAGTGAGGCTTATACCCAGAGGTGTGAGATCCAGGGTCTGATCCCAGATCATGCAATTCTCCAAAACATAAACTGAAATAAACACAATTTGAAGATCGGCATTGCCCTTGATGAAGAGGGAGCCTGACGTGAAGACAGGCCCGGTGCTGAGTGTCTGGAATGCTGTGAGCACTGACACAGATCTCAGGATGCCCGGCAGGGGATGTGGCAGGTCTGGAGCCTCTCAAGACTCAGGTGCTGAAACTTCTTCCCCTCGGATTGCTTTGCACAGGTGGGGCTTCTGGGCAAGGCACCGAGTCTGAAGGTGGAGGCCTAAAAAGGGGCTGAGACCTGGTGGAAGAGGGATCACTCACCATCAGACCCTCCAGCCGTGCCTCCCTGCCAGTCCTTCTGGCACCAGAGAGTTTGTCTGTCTTGTCTGCAGGATGCAGAAATGATGTGATCCTTGGAAGCAGAGAACTGGGCTGACAGCAGTGACGTGACCCTGGGTTTCATGGCCTCCAGGACCCTGAGGAATAGGTGTCTGACCTTTCTCTTTCGGACGTGGGGTAATTGGTCATGGCAGCACAAAGGGACCAAGACACGCATCTGCCTGTCCATCTATTTACTGGGATCTGCAGTAGTGTTTCGTGGTTCTTGGCGTACAAGCCTCTCACCTCCTTGGGGACCACTTCTTGGCGGGGCTCTCCCTTTGGATAGCACTGTGTCCCTCTCCCAATTCGGATGGTTCGCTGCTGCATGTGGCCACACAGCTGCTTGTTGGGTGTCCTGCCTGACAACGCAGATAGATTAACGCATTGGCTCCGTGGGGTTTCTGTGCAGGGGGTGGGGTCCGTGGGAGCAAGACCCCGATGTCTGTGAACACAGAGGATCTCACTTCTTCCTTGGCAAATGCTCTGGCCAGAACTTCCAGTCCAGCATGGGCCAGTAGTGGGGACACAGGCCTCCTCTGCCTCTTCCTGAGATGGGGGCACCCTGCAGCCTCCACCACTGAGGGCACACTCTTCATATGACCTTCCCAAGCAACTCTCAAGAAGTGGTGCCCCAGGGCTGGGGTGGGGCAGTAGAGCGCCCCCTAGTGGGGTGAGGCACTGGGTCAAGCCTCAGCACTATAAAAATAAAAAAATAAAAAAATAAATTAATTAAATAAAGGTATTCTGTCTTCCCACAACTAAAAAAATATGAAACGATAAAAGAAGTGGTGTCTGTGCTCATTCTAGGAGCTGGGGACGACCCATGGCTTCCTGCCCGTGGCTACACAGTGCTGTCATTCCAGTGGCTGGTTTCCATATCAAACTGTGCTGACGCTGGGCACTAACAACACCCGATCACATGGCACTGACTTCCAGTTATACATGACAGCAGAATGAATTTATGCACTTTGATATATCATACATAGATGGGCTGTAACTTCTCATTTTTCTGAGTGTACATGTTGTAGAATCATATTAGTCATGCAGTTATATATACATGAAGTAATAATGTCTGTTTCATTCTACTACCCTTCCTGTTCCCATATCCTCACCCCTACCCTCCCTTCACTCCCCTCTACCTAATCTAATGCTATTCCTCCCTAGTGCCCACCCCCTATTGTAAATTAGCATCCACATATTAGAGAAAACCCCTGGCCTTTGGTTTTTGGGGGACTGGCTTATTTCACTTAGCATGATATTCTCCAACTCCATCCATTTACCAAGAAAAGCCAGAGTTTCATTTAAGGCTGAGTAATATTCCATGAGGCACTGACATTTTAATATTGCCAGCATTTGGCTTTGTTCCCTGTAGCGTTGGTGAGTAGCGTTGGTGAGGAGCGTTGCAACCCACAAGAAGGGTGTTGTGCTGGGATTTCCTCTTGCTGTGACTCTCTCTGTGTTTGGCATCGGGTGCTTCGGAGTCACCGGGAAGACCTAGGCAGTGTTCCTTCTGCTTCTCTTTTTGGGAAGGGTTTCTTAAACTGCATAAATGAGGGCACTTCCCCCAGGCAGAGGCCATGTGGCCCTGAGCCGGACAGCACATGGATGGACCTGGCCACACAACCAGCAGCGGACTCCCTCTGCACTTGTCATTGATCCTCTTTCTTACTGTACCTTGTATGAGTGTCTAGGACTTTGTAGACGTCCCCTGTAGCCTCTGGGTGCTTGGTGCGTGTTGCTCCCAACTGCACAGCTGCGTTCCGCCATTCCTGCAGGGGGCACCAGCATGTCCACTTCCATTCCTGTTCTGGTCATTTGCCTCATCCTCTGTCCATGTCCCCCTCCCAGAAATCGCCAGCTGAGGTTAATCAAAAGCCCGGCAGCCTTTGGTTTGCCAAGGAGCTGACAGCACAAAGCTGCTCCTGCTCCCGTGACCCTGGGCTGGGCTCCCCTACTCCAACCCTCCCGTTAGGCCCGTCCCGTTCTCTTTCCTTAAGGCCAGAATCAGACTCTGGAGCTGAGCTCCTTTCCTTTGCTGTATGGGCAGTGAGAGCTGAGACTCCCCTCAGAGCTGTGCTCTGGGTGCTTCTGGTGAGTTCTGGTTTTGTGTGATTACTGTCTTGTCTCAAGGTGTTTTCTCTCCTTTTTTTGGCTGCTGGGGATTGATCAATCCAGGTGTGTCTAGGTTCCCAGGTTCTTCTTACACCCAGATGTCCTAGGTGAGAAAAGAGCTCAGAGGTCTTATTTTCTCACCCAAAAACTGATATGGGAATAAAGCAAAGGTTCTTCAGCACAGGCTGGCCATGACACAATGTGTGCCTGTGCATCATGTTGTATAATACACATAGACAGAATTAATCTGTCAATATAAAAAAGACTTTAAAAGATTATACATGAGGGTTAATGTGTTGACTGCACAAACAACCCCTTCTCTAGCAACATGTCTTCCAGGACTGATGAATAATCAAGGCTCTTGATAAGATAAGCGTCCTGTCCCTCTGTCTCCTCACCCCTGCAGAGGAGGATCGAGAGTGCTCAACACTGTGCAAGGCTCCAGCCCCCCATGCGACCCTGCACCAGGGTCAGCTTCCATCTGCAATAAGCCTCACAGAGATGGGGACCAGGCACCAGGCCATCTCCTTCCTCCAACTTTGGTTGGGGACCCGGCTATGAGTGCCCCAGATCTCTCAGGCAGGTCCAGGAACAATTTTTCCATGACGTGATCCTTGGCCACAGAGGGCCCCTGGGTGAGATAAAAAGGACTGGGCTGGGCTGAACGGGGGTGGAGGGAGCATCACAATGGCTTTCAGGTCAAAGGCAGGTGTGTGGCTGGCAGGGTCCTGGCTGTGCCTGTGCAAGGTGAGAGCCCTGGGCACCAGTGCAGCTCTGGGTGCCAAGGCAGTGCTGCCCTTTGAAGCCATACCCCAGTGTGCAGGCAACAAGTGGCTGAGGGTGCTACAGATCTGGAAGGAGCAGGGCCAGGAGAACTTGCACCTGCAGATGCACCGGGCTTTCCAGGAGCTGGGACCCATTTTCAGGTAAAGCCCTGCCAAGGCCCTCGCTGAGGATGCCCAGCACCTCCTTCTCTGCTGGCTGCCCAGGCACTGCTCCCTAGGAACATGGGTGGTCTTCGTCCTCCACAAGGCAGGAGGGGGCATGTGGGTTACCGTCCCGAGACTTTGCCAGTGGAGACAAGGACTCCTCCTGTGCACAAGGAAAGCTTGCCTCAGAGGAAGCTGAGAGGGGAAGAGGGCTCAGGCAAGAGGCTCGGGGACTTCCTGTGGGGCAGGCTCAAGTCCAGGAGAAGGGTGAGGTCTGACTGGTCTCCAGAGGGACATCAGGAGAGGACGTGGGATCCAGCAGGGCTTGTGCACGTTCCAAGGTATGAAGTGGGAAGAACACAGATAGTATCTGTGATGCTGCCTGAAGATGCTGAGAAGCTGCATCAGATGGAGAGCCTGCAGCCCTGGCGGAAGCCCCTGGAGCCCTGGATGGTCTACAGAGAGCACCGAGGACAGAAGCCCCTGGGCGTATTCTTGCTGTGAGGCACCAATGGGTTGGGTTGGGAAGTGGAATTGACACTGGGCAGCCTGGAGATGAGGCCAGACCAGCAGACCACAGGACACATGTCCTGGGCTCTGCGGGTGGGTGGACAGTGTCAGTAGTAAGCATGGATGGGTTCCTGTGATGGATGTCCTGGGCAGGGGAGCAGGCAGTGGGGGAGAAAGGCACATGGGGTCTGCACAGGCTAGACAAGGAACACTGAGCCCCTCCCTGAAGGGAGCACCCTCGGCCCTAGGCCTTGGTCCATGTCCCCTCCTGCTGCTGGGTGGCTCTCCTTCCTGTGGGTCAGAAAACCAGCCCAGAGATGTGAAATCCCAGGACCAAAGCCATGGGCAGCATGGGCCAGAATCTGAAGTCCACCAGGGCTGTCCCACCACCCAAGGGGCCCATGCATCCTGGGTCAAGTCAGCCTTCACTTTGGGGAGACAGTGACGGGGAGGAGGTTGGGGATGCGCATGGTGGAGGTCCAAGGCAGCTTCTAGCTCAGCAGCAAGGCCCTGAGCTTCCAGGTCGGTCAGCAGCAAGGGGGTGGCTCCTTACTGGGCACAAGGAAGCAGGGAGAAGATGTGCTTAGGGTGGATCAGCTGCAAAGAGGTTGCCATAAAGAGCAGGAAGTGCTGAGAAGAACCACAGGCTGAAGAGTCCCACACTCCATGTCGGGAAGTGGATTTCTGGGGAAGAGCAGGGCATAGGCACGTGAGTCTCCTGGGCCAGGCCCTCCATGGAGGGCATCTGATGCTGAGGCCAGATGTGAAGGACGGGTCTGGGGGAAAGGAGAGCCAGTGCCCCTGAAGGAAGTGGTGAACTTGTGTGTGTGTGTGTGTGTGTGTGTGTGTGTGTGTGTGTGCGCATGCACGTGCACATTAGGGTGATATGCAGCACTGTGCATACTCGTGGACATGAGTGTCTTCACACATGTGTTTGAGGTCTGTGTGGGCACAGGCGTTGGCGTGGCATGTACCCATGGTTCTCACCATCAGGAATGGGAGGCACTGCCCTAGGAAGAGAAAGGCGTGTGTGCCTGATTGTGGCTCAGGCTGCAAAGCCCTGCCCACCACTGGCACCAGAAGCTCCCGAGGCCCCATGTGCTTGGGATGTGGTGGGTGGATGTGGTGGGAGATTCAGTTTGGACTCTGCACTACAGAAGACAAGGACACTTCAGGGAGCAAGCAGGTGCCACTCTCCAAGCTCCATGGGGAAGGACATGAAGGAGAGGAGTCAGCCTGGCCTCTCCCACCTGAGGCATGGTGTGGGCCAGGCAGGCAAACTTGACCTCAGGTCACCCCCCACCCTGGCAGAAAGCCTGGCCACCCAGGCAGGGCCCACGTGGACGCAGGGTGTGCCTGGCAGCTCCCAGGAATTAGCCCACAGGCCTCCCAGAACTCCAGGGCTACCTGCCCTCATCCCCATTTGAGACTTCCATGGCCATCGCCCAGCACAGGAAGGTCACTCTGAGAGAATAAGGTGAGGCCAGGACATGCAGCTGCCTAGCCCTCGGCCTGCCTTCATCCTTGGAACCACCGAGTCCCTTTGGGTTCCAGGAAGATGGCAGACAGGTTGGGGACCTGTGGGATGCTTGGGGATGCCTCTCAAGCCCTTGCCTGCCCTACAGGAATGGAGCTGAATGGAGATTCAACCGTCTGCGGCTGAATCCAGTCGTGTTGTCAGGAAAGGCCGTGCAGAAGTTCATCCCCATGGTGGACGAGGTGGCAAGAGACTTCTCCGAGGCCCTGAAGAAGAAGGTGCTGCAGAATTCCCGGGGGAGCCTGACCCTGGATGTCCAGACCAGCATCTTCCACTATACCATCGAAGGTGTGGGGCTGGGGGAGCTCCTGGCCTCGAGGGTTCTGAGGTGGCCAGGGTGGGTAGAGTGCTGCAGGATGCAGCTGAGGCCCAGGCCTGCCCTTGTTCAGGGCTGCCATCCTCTCTGCAGCCAGCAACTTCACTCTTTTTGGAGAGCGGCTGGGCCTATTTGGCCCACACCAGAACACTGGCAGCCTAAAGTTCATTCATGCGCTGGAGGCCATGTTCCAGTCCACTGCTCAGCTCATGTTCCTGCCCAAGAGCCTGTCCCGCTGGATGAGCTCCCAGGTGTGGCAGGAACACTTTCAGGCCTGGGACTACATCTCTGAGTATGGTAAGGGCTGGACCAGGCAGGGCTGTGGGTCGGGGCAGGACAGTCATCCAGGTTT